GCAGAAAATACAGAATATATTTCGCTGCTGCGCACTTTCTTCTGCCATTAAGAAAGTCCTGTCACGGACCGGCAAGTGTATAAACGAACAACCAATGACAAAGACATTAAAATATGAGAATTTTTCCTTAGCAATATCTACATGTTTTATTCCTGCCTCTTACTTACTAGGAACTGTCTGTAAGATTAAGTAATAATAGCGAATTTGCATGAAAATATGCAGAAATCCAATAACCAGTAATGTGAGCAATATGGCTACAACACCAAAGATTAAAGTATAATTTAAGTTATAATTTATTTCATCTTAAAAAAGTCATATTCTATTTCGTGTCATAGGTCGGTAGAGATGTTCCTTTCTAGGAAGTAAAGTTCTCTCTGCTGGTTGGTTTTGCATCGAATGATAAAAGGAATTGAGAACCCATTGAAAATTTCAATCTTATACCACAGGGTAGAAAACTTGTTGTTGGTTTCTTGACGGTTCGGGGTACCATGTCTTTGAGAAGAGCACGTTTCTCGCCGGCGAGGGCACTATCAATGAGCTTCAAAGCTTCATGGATACCTCAGATTCATAGAGGTTGGCTGGCGAATTTAGGAGGCGCAGTAAATACTGATGATCGTCATTTAGGGCATCATAGACTTCCAGAAACGGAAGCATGCGCAGCCTTGTCAACAGAATGCCGTGATATCTGTTAGGCAGCAGGTATAACGTAAGTTGCAATCAACAGAGTGGTTTTTAATTGTGAAAATATGGGCATTTACTTTATTATAAACTTTCCTTGTCAACCTGACACATTAATACTACATTTCCAAAAACTTTGACCGCCATCCCTTAACAGCAATGATGAAATCAGAGGTAGAATTAAGAATCCATGATAAACTGAACATGCCTATCACATATTTAATTGGTGTCCTTCAACACGTATTCCGTTGCTTTTTTATATTCCCTTCTTTACATGTTTTTCGCTTGAAAAGGCGATGACTCACAGAGTGAGTCGGCTAAGCCGTTATGGCATCTAATTGATTAACAACCCGATTGATGAATTTTTAGCAATGTCGAGTTTTCCGATGAGTTCAGAGTCCTTTAGTTCATCCTGACTGAGGTTGTATCAGATCAGCCCTACTAACGAGTATGAAAATCACTCCTCAGACTGTTGGCATAAAACGAATGAACGAAAAAGTATCTAAATATCGACTGTGCTTCAATGTCGATAGCATGGTTCTAGAAAATTCATTTCGCGGATTGAATATAACAGGTCGATTCTGACACAGTAAACAATCGATTATCTGTTGCCTTGTTTGTCTTACCTATCCTCCTATGCTTCTGCATTTGTATCGATGCTGTTGATCGTTTTTTCTGACAGATATTTGCCATCCACTAATAACTTTCTGCCTTCTGACACACGCAGCTAAAATTTAGTCGATATTTAAGCTTTTACTCTTACCTGGTGCAGTTCTATGGACTAACATTTCGACGGCCTCAAAAAAATTTCCAGACTTTGAGGCCACTTCCACTCGTCCAATTTTTTGACCAGCATTGATCAGTGATAGTCATTGAAATGACCATGATTAATCGCGAATTAAACCAAATGCTCACACATTGAAATGCTTTTGATTGCCTTAGATTTACCGTATCCTGACTCAATAAATGGCCATGCTTTCTTGATTTCCATCTTTTCATCAGGCATATTCTGAACCTTCAATTCAGTTTACGTATGAATTTTCTCCTGCTGTTCAAAGGATAGTTTATATGAGGGCATGACTTCATGAAACCTTATTCAATGAGTCACACGATGAGTGGCGCCAATTCTTGTTTGGATTTTTATTCAGAGTATAACTCAAGTCGATGAACAAGTATTAACAGCTCTGTAGGCTAAAGTAACCACTGTGAGGCAACCGACAGTTTCCGAGTTCATAAATTCAGCTGTCTTAGAGATATATAAGCATTCATTTCATCTTTTAACATGTCCTGGGAAGACATATCGTAATTGTGTTATGTCTACAAGGACGTTTCAACGCCGAATTATGAAAGGTACCAAAAGAGTATGGTTTTCAAAATAATACGACATGCACCTAAAATTCAAATGTTAAATTCTTAAATAATTAACATAATTAACGAAGATCACCTTTGCGTACCATCGATGCTCACTGTCGTGTGTATCTTGCGAGTTGTCGCCACAGGCTACCACCAATCTATTTTAGCTCATCCTCACGTCTGGTCAGGGATTTTCCATTCTCTGGTTTCCGCCCCTTGGCTATCAGACCGTCACGACTTAAGTTCGTGTCAGTCATGCGACATGATCTGTCCATTCTCGTTTTCTTTCTTTTGAAACAGATACAACGTCCAGCATTTTCGTATAGTTTCGTATTTCTTCATCTTGTAGCTTTTTCCTGATACACATTACTGAATACTGCTTTTCATAACCCTCTGTTGCACTCGAAATAATTCTACATTCGTCTTTATTAATATGCATTTCTGGTAACCATGTGGGACTGTTGGCAAAACGTTACTTTCATACAATGCGGTTCATACAATAAATAATTCATTGTGTCTAACAATGTCATCGTTTCTATTTTACGTACCCCGCGTCTTCTAACGAACACTGTGCCCTAAAGAACGGTCTAAGACGATCAGCTGTCCAAGACAGACATGGTCTCTATGTAATTGCTTCTATTTGATAGTAATTAATAAACAGTGCAGCTGGTTGTGCGAATTTTTTTCTCATCATTTTCGTCTTCGCCCTGTCTATTCGAAGTCCAACTTGCCTGGTCTTTAATTCTACGTCATATCGCATGGCTTCAACTTCTTTCGCCCATTTGTCATTTTCAATGTGCCCTACATGCAATAATTTGAATTTTCTGTTTGACCTACTTTGATTTCCATTCTCCGCAGGTTTATTCCATATTATACATATAAATATGATATATCAATGCAATCTTTCCTTAAACAATTTTTTCCTTAAAAATATCGTAATTTCTTAGTATCTTACTTAGAAACTAGAATAACAGGAATATGCCATTCATCATTTAGTGAGCTGAATTATGAAGTACCTTGTTTCGTTAACCAATTGCTTTGCTGGATCTATGCAAAATGAATAATTATTATTGCTAATAATGTGTTCTCTGGGAATGGTATTAATCTTCCGTTGAGGCGATGAAAGAATGATTTCACCATGCTTTTACTAGAAATAGTATGAATGATGAACCCAAATTCTTCCAGCCATGGCTCAGCTCAGAGAATTCCCTTTGAAATCAGCACTTGAAAAAGAGTGTCGCGGTAGTGCAGTGCTCTCGTTCTCGTCATGGTTGACATGTTTTTAGGCTCTTCAAAAGACAGG